TCCTGTCTACATTTGTATCACCTAAATGAGAAAAGGATGTAATGATGCATTGTGAATTCCCGGCACAAAGGTTGGGAATCATTGAGTTAAGTGATGTTCAGGTGTTGAAACAGAACGTGGGAAGAACTTGTTCCACAGACACCGGTGTTCCCGTAAAGAACGGAACCGTGCAACGAAAAATCGTAAATCCTATCGCATCTGGAGTCGAGTGTATCGCTACCTCCCCTAGTGTTTAATACTTGACAGTCGACAGTCACGATTTTTACTCCTCAAACGTTACCGTGTGATTAACTAGGTTCACCTTAACTCCCACAACTCCCTTAAATTCCGATAATCCTAACAACGGGGGGAGGGGGTAAGGGGGGGAGGAACCAAGCGAGCTCTTACACCGCTGCTCTCCGGTCGAGTGCCACCTTAATTGAGTTAAATGGATTGCGATGGTCGAGATGATTACTCTGTTGGTTTTTTTATTGCCACAATTTAGACGCTGCCTCATTGCATTATTGCCGCCTTAATAAGAAGCCTCTGCGGCCGATCTGTCTCTGATGGCGTGAATATATATATATGAATATCACCGGAATATATTTTTTTCCTCTGCATTTTTTTTCAGACGACGTTTGACTGAAAAAAACACTTGAGTGAATCTGTTGTTAACACTTTTTTTTTTGGACGTTTGTAACGGTTCTTAATTTGGGGGGAATTGGGGGGAGGGGGGGGGGGGGGGCCGGGGTGGTGGGGGAGGGTTCTACTCTGCTGCTGATTCGTGACCCTCTCTGTCTGCAGAAGCGAGAGACTTTTAATGGAATGCCTTGTCCCCCCCCTCCCTATTCATGGAGCAACCACCCCCCTTCCCTTCGTTGCTCAGCTTATTTGTACAGTGAACTGACAGGTAGCAGCGATAAGAGTTTGCGTATCTGCGGGGTGAGAGAAGGGGGGGAGGCAGAGCTGCTACTGCATGGTGTGATAAGGAGTAGGAGAGCAATATTTTTACACAAAGCTGAACCACCTCACCCCCCCTCACCCCTCCCCCCACCCACCTCATCTGTAGCTAGCAGAGCCTCCGCTCCTCCCTCCTTTTCTTTGTATTAATTTCCTACACGTGTTGCTAACGACGGAGAGGTAGCCGGAGTCGTCACCTCCCACCCTGTCACGCACTCAGTTCTACCCTGGCATTATGGGATTTATTTTCATCGTAATGATGCGGACGTTGCTGTAGGTTGACGGTTAATTTTTTTTTTTTTGGTTCACAACCTGCTTCCCTCCACTTTGCTCTGACGGGCAGCAGCCGTGGTGGGTGGTGGTGGGAGTTGGATGTGAGCTGCTGTAGCTAATGGTTTGTTTCCTACCTGGGAAATATATGTAGCGCTTCTGTAGCCCGAGATAAACGACCACCGGGGGGATCGTTAAGTTTCTGGAACAGAGTGAGGATAAATTGCCGGGGGGAGGGAAATAATTAATTGCGTGTCTCTCATTAGGATGGGAGCTGCGGGCTCACTGTGCGTCGCTAACGCAGCGTGTTTCTGCAGTGAACAGGTGAGAGGGCTGGCGATCGTCCGATTTAACCGCTACATCGCCGTCGGACAACTGTAATGGTGGTGACTTTACACTGCAATGATACGATACTGCTGCGGCAGCCTCCGGATATGGAGCGTTTAGACGACGCAAAAAAAATCAAAAAAACAGTGTAGTACATATGCCAGGCCTCTATGTGGTGCTGTGTCAACACACTAACACCGGAGGAATTTGTAGCGGAAGTTCGGAAAAGCAGAAAAGAAGCCCCCCGAGCATGTGTTTAAAGCCGCAGATTGTAAACAAACTCAAAAAGAAATAAACCCAAAAAGTCGGCGACGACTAACTACTGAATTAGCTTCTCCAGCACGGTGAGAGCATTGGTTTTTGTGGGTCTTTGTGCAGCATTGAGCAGAGTTACTGGTATAAAGGCAAGGTTGACGTTGTCGTCTCACTCTGCTCTGTTCACGCGGAGACATGGGCGTCCCGTCTTCATCGAGACACAAGGACGAATCGGCGCTATCGCTCTGGGATCCACAGTTACATCGTCGTCGTCGGGGACAAAAAAAAAAACAGAAAGAGAACCTGTAAAAAAAAAAAGTTCCTTCCTGACGGGAACTGTTTTCCCCGGTGTGCGTTTTATTTAAGACGCTAGATGGTACGCTAGCTAGCCATGAATAAATGTCTCACTTACTACAGTACCAGCAGTGGCGTCCGCCTTCATGCTCTGGTTTCTGCTGCTAGAACGGTGCAGCCAATAAGTCACTGGCGGTGAGGGAGCGGGGGGGGCTTTAAAAACAAACAGCGGTGTAATTTGGCATTCCCTAAAACTAGGACTTATGGTTCTGCAGTGGAGCTCTTCGGGGAGTTAGCGCTCAAATGTTGGTTTACTGGCCCACATATCCCTCCCTGGCTACTGTCTCTTTCTCTCGCCCTTTTATGACTGCTGAGGAAACTGGATTTCACAGCTGCTAAGAGCCGGGTGCCGGCTGGGCCCCCTGACCTCCTTGTTGCTCCCCACCCCTCACCCCCCCACCCTTTCCTCAGCGTCGCTCCTTTTTTTGCTCCCTTTCTGCAGCGGCAGTTTTCCTCGGGGAGCTTTTGTGTGGCTCAGAGGAAGCCGAATCGTAAAGCATGGCTAATGAATAGAATCGGGAAAGAAAGCCGAGGTCTGCTGACGGCCCCTCCCGGGAGGGCCGTCCTCCCTGAAACCCCAGGCTCAAATAGCAGACGGCTCCACAAAGGTCAGGCTTCCTGTGGCCCACTCCAAGGGCTGTTAGCTTCCAGGCAATGTGGCTTGAATTTCCCCCATGATTTTTTTTTTAAGTGGTAAAATTTTCCCCCGTTTCCTTTAGAAACTCTCTCTCTTTTAAATCACATTTCCTCTATTTTTTTTTCTCGTCTGTCTGTGTTTAATAGCGTCCAAAACGCAGCAGCTGTGACAGTCGGCGGGAAAGTCTCCAGATTAAATGTTGACTCCGACAGAAAGCCTAAGAGGTTCCACAAAAACAACAGCTTGTCGATGACATTTCTGCTGAGGATTTTTTTTTTTTTTTGAGCTAGCTTCGTTCACGTAGCTGATGTCACCATCTGCAGGTGAAATGTTTCAAAGCGATAACGCATAACATTTCAATTATATATATATATTGTGATTTATATATATATAGTCGCAATATATATATCGCAATATTTTATATATTGCGATATTTTGTTTCACGATACAATATCGATACTCGAAATCACCAGATTCTTGCCAATACACACCCCTAGTGCATTGGATGAGAACTTCTTGAAGAAGTAAGTTAAAGTAAAGTAACTGGTTACTGAGAAAAATTTCTCACTTCGTAACCTCCGTGTTAGCTATGTTTTAGCTTCCATGTCACAAATATGGTATGCCGCTATATAGCATACAGGCTAGTATGTGTCAGCATGCGGCGGAGAGAGACTTTATTTATTTTCTCAAAGCTAAGCTAGGCTAAACTAACAACCCATGCTAAAAACCCTCAGTTGAATCTTGTGAGTCGCATCACTGCCCCCTACAGGAGGTGGCTAGTTTTCCACTCATGGATGTTCACTGTAATTTCTCAATGTATCGTTGTGCCTGTAGTATCTCAATATATCGTATTGTTGCCCCTGCCTTGTGATGCGTATCGTGTGACCGGATGACTTACCGGTGCACATGTCTGGCACACCTACAGGTCAGCGGTGTATCTGCAGTACAAGTACACGCTCGTCTCAGACTGGGTTGGTGTGATGTCACGGACCCAGTGGCCAATGAGGTGCTGAGCAGTGTTTGTCACGCCCCGACATCACTGACTGATGCCTCCTCTTACTCCGGTGACCTCACCAGTGTCCGGGCCAGAACCCGTGTCCATCCGACGAGCTTCATCTAGTCCCCCCCCCCCCCCGTGTGATGTCACGGACCCAGTGGCCAATGAGGTGCTGAGCAGTGTTTGTCACGCCCCGACATCACTGACTGATGCCTCCTCTTACTCCGGTGACCTCACCAGTGTCCGGGCCAGAACCCGTGTCCATCCGACGAGCTTCATCTAGTCCCCCCCCCCGCCCTGTGGGGTTTCGGTTCAATGCTGAGGTTTTGGCACCGAAGCGTTTAACAACCGGCCTGTGCGGCACGACGCCCCGGTTCTGGGAGACTGGCAGAGGGCGGTTCTCAATGCTCTCAGACCTCGGCTCCTGTGGAGGGAAAACAAAAGAGGTGCGACGTGATTGGACGGTTCCTGTTGTTGTACCACGGGCTGTTGGATCGCTTTGACGAATCACTGTATAAATACAACAGGCTATCATTCACCTAGCTAACACGGTCAGAGGCCAAAGGTCACGGGAAGCTGGTTCCCAAAGTGGGGGGCGGAGCCTTGTTTACCCTCCCCCCCGGAAACTGGTTCTCAAAGTGGGGGGCAGGGCCTTGTTTACCCCTCGAAGCTGGTTTCCAAAGTGGGGGGCAGGGCCTTGTTTACCCCCTCGAAGCTGGTTTCCAAAGTGGGGGGCGGCCTTGTTTACCCCCCCGGAAGATGTGACAGGTGGGGCCACCTCCCTTCCTGTTAGCAGTTACCTTGTTGCCCCCAGAGCTCGGCAGCGCCATCAGTGGTGGCTCAGCTGTACTGCTGGTTGTAGTTTTATTGTTGTTGTTTCTCAGTGTTTGTCTTAAATATTTGAAATCATGAGGGTGGTGCTCAGCAGTCTGCTACATCATATTAGTAAATACATATTTAAATATATATGTAAATATATATGTATATTTAAATGTGGCGGCGCTGTAGGGTGTGTGTCCCTTTAAAAAGTCAGGCGTGTTCTCAGTGCAGCACTGTGTGCAGTGATGCTGCGTAGCAACCTCCCTCTGACGTCGAGGACGACGTGTCCTCAGAGGTAGCTCAACACTGCCACCTATTGTTCTCCGCCGGTAAACGGCCAGGCAGGACCGTCGGGTTCTGAGGGTGCTCCTCCTGTGACGCTGCCTCTGACCCCGCGTTAATATGAATGACATTGTCATGGTCGACTGTTCTTCATCATCATCATCATCACGTCTCACCAATGGTCTCCTGTCTCCACAGGTGTCTGATGTAGGATCAACGAAGTTCTTCTCACCGACAGCTCCTACAGGTGAGCTCTTCTTCCTCTTCTTCTTCTTCCTCTTCTTCCTCTTCCTCTTCTTCTTCCTCTTCTTCTTCTTCTTCTTCCTCTTCTTCCTCTTCCTCTTCTTCTTCTTCCTCTTCTTCCTCTTCCTCTTCTTCTTCCTCTTCTTCTTCTTCTTCCTCTTCTTCCTCTTCTTCTTCTTCCTCTTCTTCCTCTTCCTCTTCTTCTTCTTCCTCTTCTTCCTCTTCCTCTTCTTCTTCCTCTTCTTCTTCTTCTTCCTCTTTTCTTCTTCTTCATCTTCTTCATCTTCTTCTTCCTCGTATTTTTCTTCTTCATTTGTTGAAAACTAACTGAATGTTCTCTGATCTAATCCTGCGACACGTTCACTCACCCTGTGGACTACACACATGTATTCACTCTTCCTCCTACCCCCTCCTCCACCCACACCCTGTGCCAAGAACCCAGTGAAGTCTGAGCTCTGGTTGATTTAAGAGGATTTGCAGCTTTTCCTGCCACATGCACCATGAATTATTACTGCGAAATAATGGTTCAGTCTCCTCTGACAAAACAGGCTCAGCTGAACATGGTGGATGTCAGAGGACGGGGGGGCGGGGGGTGAGGTGGGGGCACGGGGTTAGCGGGGGGGGTCAGTGCAACAGAAACAACAGCGTGTGTGTTTTCTATGTCAGAGTTTAGAGAAAGTTGTTTGTTTAGGGGGAGGAGGGTAAAACGTTGCCCCCTACAGGGGGTCACAGTGTACATACTGACTAGTAGTGACATGTTGAATTGCAGATTTTGTAGAGTTACCTATTTTATTCTTACTTACGTTTTTAACGGATGGCTCAATAACAACTTTTTCAAGTACGATACCGATACTGTAACTTGGGAATATCTGCCGATACCGATATCAGTCCGATACCTTCTTGTCGACTCTCTGTTTACGTCAGGTCGTATTACGTTGAGTTTTTAGGCCTAGGTGTGGGATCGTACCGGCTAGCGTTCACCTACGTAAAAGTCCATCTCGGACCTACCCGTACCACCAGTGACATGGCCGGTACATCGCCGAGTCCACCATCGGACCACCTCCAGACCAGCCGGTGCATGTCCGATCTAACCACATGAATGCGACACTTCCTGTCCGCATTTATGAGGCTAACCCCAGACTTGTCCGAAAACTTGCGCGTTCTTTGAAAACCACGTATTTGTACTTCCAAACCTTTAGCTAACATGTGTTTCACCTCAGATCAGAATTGGTGTGGTTGACCTTTGACCTCAAAAGCTTGGTGAATTATATTGGCAAGAATCTGGTGATCCGATACTGTATCGGGATATAGTATATTGCGAAATACTGTGCGATACTATCATGTCAACCGTCGTCAGGTTACTATGAAGGACATTGATCGGGTATCCTGAAACGGAAAATTGCGATATTTCAGTGCATCAATATTTTTCTGTCATATACTGCGATTATACGTCATTGGTTCCGTTAGCTGCGTCGTTTGACTCGGGTCTCAGAAGAACCAGCCATTTAGCGTCTCTGTGATGGTGATTCGTTTTTTTTTTCGTGGTGCTTTTACACCAAGTATTACTATAATAGTAAACAGTCGGAGCCGAGGGCCCGGAGCAGGAGCTCAGCGGCTCCGCGGGGCTTAGCTGCAGATGGCTGTCTAAGCCGGATTTAATAAATAGTTCCCATTAAACTGACTGGCCAACACACACACACGAACATATTTTAAAGGCACAATAAAAAGTTTTTATTGTGGTGTTCAGACTTTCCTGAATCTAGAATGATCAGGAACAAGGCCCTGCCCCCCACTTTGGGAACCAATCACTAATGGTTTTCCTTCCATTCACTTCCTAGATTTCCTAGAGGACGGAGCGGAGGAGTAGCCGTAAGGTCAGAGGTCGGGAGACCCGAGGGCAGCTCAGGAATAGTCAACCAGTAGAGGGGGCGTGTTGGTATTCAACCCGGCGTTTCTGGTGCGCTCGGGTCGGTCCGGTGCGTGACTGACCTTGGCGTCTGGTCTGAGCCATTAAATAATGGATGGAGGTTGAGTCTCTGACCGACCAATCAGGTCCTCAACCACCACTGACTTCGGGCTGGTGGAGGATGGGGTGGTGGTGGCGAGGGTGCAGCGATGACTGCAGGGCAGAAATGTTGCTGGGAAAATAATAGCGCACAGAAACTCTCTTGTTGCCAGAAACTCTCTTGTTGCCAACTTCAACTTTCACGTTGACTATCGTTAAATTATTGATGTCCGTGAACCGGGGTTTGAGGATGGTTGTAAAAAAGTTTTAGTTGAGATTTGTCCCCCAGCGTCCGTCGACAAACCCATGTATGACCCGCCCACTCTGCTCTGATTGGCTAGTAGTCATTGCTTGGTTGGTTGGTTGGTGTCCTTGATCATCGTGGGAGGAAATATATCTCCCGATCTAGGTATACACAGGCAACAAGGACGAAAAAAGACGAAGTTTCTTCTGGGCGTTTTTTTGTTAGACATGGATCCTTATGTCTTCTATCAAATCTGGCAACTTTGGTTTCCACTCCAACAGAGTCTGGATACAGTATCTTTAGAGGAAATTAGAGGCAACCGTTGCTGTGAACTAGTGGTGTGTGTCGGCAAGAATCTGTCGATACGATACCTATCTCGATACAGGATCAACGAGTTGGTGTGGTTGACCTTTGACAGCAGTGAATTATATTGGCAAGAATCCGGCCGTACGATACGTATTGGTGATAATAAATCAATAACTGATGACTGAGGAGATTGATATGGGATCAGGAGAGGAGATATCGCGATATTTCAGCGTGTAGAATTTTTTACTGTGAACTGTGAACAACAGCGCCACCTATGAACTGGGGGTTTCATGGTTCTGAGTGGCTGACCCCCCCTCCTCCCCCCGTCGGAGGAGTGGCTATAAACGAGGAGTGTGCTGCAGATAGGACCGGCGATCAATCGTTGATCAACTCATCACCAACAGATAGTTGCTTTTCCTTCAGGCCTGCTCCCAGTACAGAAACAACAATTAGAGAATTCCCAGCATGCACTGCTTCCCCAACACTCTGCGAAGCTCTGTTAGAATGAGAACCCCCGGGCGTGTAATTCTTCCCTTATTATCTACAGTGTATAGAGCAGGGTGTCAAACATAGGGCCCGCGAGCCAAAACCGGCCCGCTGGGGTGTTTAATTTGGCCCGTTTGGTACATTTTTGAGATGAAAAAGTTATTTAGAGTTAATTATGTACCATGTACCCTGTGTTATTAAAGGGGAAGTCTGGGCTTTTTTGGTATGGTATTTTGTGGCAATATTGGCAATATTGATCATAGGTAGAAAAAAAAACTAGAAATCCAGATCACAGCAGTGATTAAAAAAAAAAAAATTATCGTGGAAGATGACAATGAGCCTCTAGTTCAGCTCAGGGCTAGGCCATTTCTGACTGGTCCATCTGAAGCCGGGCCATCTGGCTCCAGAACAACCACGGAGGAGCAGACCCGTGCCAGGACTCCAGATGTTCCACAGAGACACGTGAGCAGCAGCAGGCGGAGGGGGAGGAGGGGGGGGCATCAGCTGTGCTGTGACACCGTCGTCACAGGAGAGGCTGATGTCTCCAGCAGGGGGCTCCCCTCCTCCCTTCATCCATTCATTTACTGCTGTGAACATGGGTTCAAGTCCCAGAACTGT